TGAAGAAAACTGACCAAAGATGCGGTTTTAATATGTCTCGAAATGAGCAAGGGAATCAGCTGTACTTGGCGGAAACCAAACTGGGAAAGAGAAAGGATATTGTGAGATTCAAGATACCACATTAAGCGGAAGTTAACTATTCGTTCTAGTAGTTTGCACAAGCAGCGGTAGAGCGACGGGGCGGTAATCTTGAGGGAAGGTACCCGATTCACTGGGTTTCAAGAAGGGGAGGGTAAGAGCTTCCCGCCAAGAGAAGGAAAATTTCCTGACGTCCATAAGTGGTTGAAAAGAGTTAATAGGAAGGATAGAGAGGAAGATGGGAGGTGTCGGAGCATACGGTAGTGAATACCGTCAGGGCCTTCAAGAGTGTTGCGGCACGTTGAGTTCAGAAGAAAAAGGAGCATTGGAAAAAGAAAAAGACTCATCGGAGGAGAGGGTGACGGTGATAGGGGTGCGTTCCCTGATGGTCTTAATGGAAGAGAAGTATGGGTAAATGTGAGAGCCACAACTGACCCGGCTGAAATAGTCACCCATTTCATTAGCGACTTGGAGAGGATCAGAGATGAGAGTATCTCGAATATGGAGTAACTGAGGAAACATAATTTCGTCAGCTATTTGTTTTACTGTTTCTGATTGTACGACGAAGACAGGCAGATGTTCTTTTAAAGAAAATGAAGGCTGATAGCTGATTAGATGTACCTCGTTTGTAGCGATAACCTTTCCAGGCTGCTCGTTTTAAGAATGCGTTTTGGTGCAATCAGAATTCCACCATGGAACACACTTGGAAGTCTTGAGGTTCGAGGAATGGCTGTATAGGCAGCTCTTAGAACCGTGGCTGTGAAACATGGTAGCATATCTGAAATGGGCGAGAAGGGGGTGGAAGGGTAGGTATAGTAGAGAATGAAGTGAAAGTACGCCAGTTAGAAAGTGGTTTAGAAGTGACCAATGGAAATCTAAATGGAGAGAAGGGGAGCATATAGAGAGGTCAGGGAGGGAAATCTAAA